CTAGAAGGACAATGTCTGTTCCTTTGGTCTGACACTCCCCAGTGACAGTGTGACTAGAATGACAATGCCTGTTCCTTTGGTATGACACTCCCCCGTGACATTGTGACTGTAGAAGGACAATGTCTGTTCCTTTGGTATGACACTCCCCAGTGAGAGTGTGACTAGAAGGACAATGTCTGTTCCTTTGGGATGACACTCCCCAGTGACAGTGTGACTAGAAGGACAATGTCTGTTCCTTTGGGATGACACTCCCCATTGACTGTGTGACTGTAGAAGGAAAATGTCTGTTCCTTTGGTCTGACACTCCCCAGTGACAGTGTGACTAGAAGGACAATGTCTGTTCCTTTGGGATGACACTCCCCATTGACTGTGTGACTGTAGAAGGAAAATGTCTGTTCCTTTGGTCTGACACTCCCCAGTGACAGTGTGACTAGAAGGACAATGTCTGTTCCTTTGGGATGACACTCCCCAGTGACAGTGTGACTAGAAGGACAATGTCTGTTCCTTTGGTATGACACTCCCCATTGACTGTGTGACTGTAGAAGGACAATGTCTGTTCCTTTGGTCTGACACTCCCCAGTGACAGTGTGACTAGAATGACAATGCCTGTTCCTTTGGTATGACACTCCCCAGTGACATTGTGACTGTAGAAGGACAATGTCTGTTCCTTTGGTATGACACTCCCCATTGACTGTGTGACTGTAGAAGGAAAATGTCTGTTCCTTTGGTCTGACACTCCCCAGTGACAGTGTGACTAGAAGGACAATGCCTGTTCCTTTGGTATGACACTCCCCAGTGACAGTGTGACTAGAAGAACAGCCTGTTCCTTTGGTATGATACCTCCCAGTGACAGTGTGACTGTAGAAGGACAATGTCTGTTCCTTTGGTATGACACTTCCCAGTGACAGTGTGACTAGAAGAACAGCCGGTTCCTTTGGTATGATACCTCCCAGTGACAGTGTGACTGTAGAAGGACAATGTCTGTTCCTTTGGTATGACACTGCCAAGTGACAGTGTGACTAGAAGAACAGCCTGTTCCTTTGGTATGATACCTCCCAGTGACAGTGTGACTGTAGAAGGACAATGTCTGCTCCTTTGGTATGACACTCCCCAGTGACAGTGAGACTATAGAAGGACAATGCCTGTTCCTTTTGTATAACACTCCCCAGTGACAGTGTGACTAGAAGGACAAGGCCTGGTCCTTTGGTATGACACCCCCCAGTGACAGTGTGACTAGAAGGACAATGCCTGTTCCTTTGGTATGACACTCCCCAGTGACAGTGAGACTATAGAAGGACAATGCCTGTTCCTTTTGTATGACACTCCCCAGTGACAGTGTGACTAGAAGGACAATGCCTGTTCCTTTGGTCTGACACTCCCCAGTGACAGTGTGATTGTAGACGGACAATGTCTATTCCTTTGGTATGACACTCCCCAGTGACAGTGTGACTAGAAGGACAAGGCCTGGTCCTTTGGTATGACACCCCCCAGTGACAGTGTGACTAGAAGGACAATGTCTGTTCCTTTGGTATGACACTCCCCAGTGACAGTTTAACTGTATAAAGACAGTGTCTGTTCCTTTAATTGGTATGACGCTCCCCAGTGACAGTGAGACTATAAAAGGACAATGCCTGTTCCTTTTGTATGACACTCCCCAGTGACAGTGTGACGAGAAGGACAATGCCTGGTCCTTTGGTATGACGCTCCCCAGTGACAGTGTGACTAGAAGGACAATGTTTGTTCCTTTGGTATGACACTCCCCAGTGACAGTTTAACTGTATAAGGACAGTGTCTGTTCCTTTAATTGGTATGACGCTCCCCAGTGACAGTGAGACTATAGAAGGACAATGCCTGTTCCTTTTGTATGATACTCCCCAGTGACTGTGTGACTAGAAGGACAATGCCTGTTCCTTTGGTATGACACTCCCCAGTGACAGTGTGACTAGAAGGACAATGCCTGTTCCTTTGGTATGACACTCCCCAGTGACAGTGTGAGTAGAAGGACAATGCCTGTTCCTTTGGTATGACACTCCCCAGTGACAGTGTGACTAGAAGGACAATGCCTGTTCCTTTGGTATGACACTCCCCAGTGACAGTGTGACTAGAAGGACAATGCCTGTTCCTTTGGTATGACACTCCCCAGTGACAGTGTGACTAGAAGGACAATGCCTGTTCCTTTGGTATGACACTCCCCAGTGACAGTGTGACTAGAAGGACAATGCCTGTTCCTTTGGTATGACACTCCCCAGTGACAGTGTGACTAGAAGGACAATGCCTGTTCCTTTGGTATGACACTCCCCAGTGACAGTGTGACTAGAAGGACAATGCCTGTTCCTTTGGTATGACACTCCCCAGTGACAGTGTGACTAGAAGGACAATGCCTGTTCCTTTGGTATGACACTCCCCAGTGACAGTGTGACTAGAAGGACAATGCCTGTTCCTTTGGTATGACACTCCCCAGTGACAGTGTGACTAGAAGGACAATGCCTGTTCCTTTGGTATGATGCTCTCCAATGACAGTGTAATTCTAGAAGGACAATGTCTGTTCCTTTGGTATGACACTTCCCAGTGACAGTGTGACTAGAAGAACAGCCTGTTCCTTTGGTATGATACTCCCCAGTGACAGTGTGACTAGAAGGACAATGCCTGTTCCTTTGGTATGACACTCCCCAGTGACAGTGTGACTAGAAGGACAATGCCTGTTCCTTTGGTATGACACTCCCCAGTGACAGTGTGACTAGAAGGACAATGCCTGTTCCTTTGGTATGACACTCCCCAGTGACAGTGTGACTAGAAGGACAATGCCTGTTCCTTTGGTATGATACTCCCCAGTGACAGTGTGACTAGAAGGACAATGCCTGTTCCTTTGGTATGACACTCCCCAGTGACAGTGTGACTGTAGAAGGACAATGTCTGTTCCTTTGGTATGACACTTCCCAGTGACAGTGTGACTAGAAGGACAATGCCTGTTCCTTTGGTATGATGCTCTCCAATGACAGTGTAATTGTAGAAGGACAATGTCTGTTCCTTTGGTATGACACTTCCCAGTGACAGTGTGACTAGAAGAACAGCCTGTTCCTTTGGTATGATACTCCCCAGTGACAGTGTGACTAGAAGGACAATGCCTGTTCCTTTGGTATGATGCTCTCCAATGACAGTGTAATTGTAGAAGGACAATGTCTGTTCCTTTGGTATGACACTTCCCAGTGACAGTGTGACTAGAAGAACAGCCTGTTCCTTTGGTATGATACTCCCCAGTGACAGTGTGACTAGAAGGACAATGCCTGTTCCTTTGGTATGACACTCCCCAGTGACAGTGTGACTAGAAGGACAATGCCTGTTCCTTTGGTCTGACACTCCCCAGTGACAGTGTGACTAGAAGGACAATGTCTGTTCCTTTGTGTGACTCTCCCCAGTGACAGTGTGACTGTAGAAGGACAATGCCTGTTCCTTTTTGTGACTCTCCCCAGTGACAGTTTGATTAGATGGACAATGCTGGGTTGGTGTGAGTTTCCGAAGAGACAGATCACCAATACTCTGATGGTTTATTGAAGCCTGCTCTTGGCGCTATGGACTTTTGATTTATTAGCCTGTTATGTTGCGAGATATTTGTGGTGGTGCTGATCGCTGATGTCTCCAGTATATAAAGGTTATCTGTCGGTTTACTGTTGGATACCATTTATGTTTCATGAGAGTGATCAAATACTTCTATATTTTTATTGATGTGCCACACAGGTGAAAGTATTTAAGCGTTCTGTCACCAGAGTGACATATAAATACAATGGGAAACCATTACATATTTCATTTAACACATTTTTAGAACTTTTTATGAAGAAAATGACCATCAAAGAAACAGAAAGGGTTTTGCAATGTCGGAGTCTTTTTACATTGTTGGCGAGACCTCACTTTCTGATGTCAGACTTTTAACGTCACAATTAAGAAACAAGACCTACATAATTATTTGAAGCTTTCTGATTGGTTATTATATGTAGTAAATCTGTAATCTGTATATTCTTTGATTTAAATTAAAGGACCTATTATTTCATTTTGATATTTCTCTCAGTGAAAAGTAACATATATTAACATAAGTTATCTGCATTTTCCTCTAGTTAAAAATGAAATATATTATGCTAATGTTTTAAGGGGAACTATTAAAGGAGACGATTTCTGATATGAAGAGTGTATCCTTGCATGACAGATATTTTTAGATCACCTGAGCTTTGCTCAAGTGACCTATTCCAATCACTTTCCGTCCGTCGTCGTCCGTCGTGCGTCGTGCGTAAACTTTTCACATTTTCAACTTCTTCTCAAGAACCAGTGGATGCAATTTTTTCATCCTTGGTAGATGAGGCTACCAAATTATAAAATTGGGATTCCTACCCCAACCCTAGGGGCCAGGGCGGGGCCCAAAAGGGAAAATTAACCAATATTTCAAAAATCTTCTTCTCCAGACTCAGAGGTATTACAGTCATTTTCTCTGCATGGATGGAAAGATCATCAGGGGCTTTATTTAAATTGTAAATTTCAGGACCCCCGAGCTATCCGTTCTCCCTTGGGGAGGGGGTAAAGTTTACTATAGTTTATATAGGGAAACAACACTTTTGGGTATATTTTGACAATTTGCTGTTGGAAATTATTTTTACTTGGTCAGAATCATCTTTGGTGGATGACGGTATCACATTGTAAACTTGGAATTCCTGCCCCATCCCCAGGGGTTAGAGCGAGGCCCCAAAGGGAACATTTACAAATATTTTAAAATGCTTATCCATTGATGACATGACAAGTATTGTATTTCACTTAGTTTACATGCTGATTTCCACATCACATCTTAACAATAAAATAAAGCTACCAGTACCTATGATATAACTCAGGTGACCGCTTAGGCCCTTGGGCCTCTTGTTATGATATACTGTTATTTCAAGTTCCTTTGAGAACATACATTGAGGTAGTTGGTCAGACTACCCATAACCCAATCTTTTTTCTACTTTGTGATTTTCTAGCTCCTCAAATTTAGATAACAAGAACAACAAATCTCCTTGTGGCAGCAGCAACAACTCCAACGACTTCAAAATGGCAGGAAAACACACATTAGGAGTCAGTAACCAGTTTCCAGCCCTAAACTCCCAGCAACGTCTCGGCGGATCTCCCTCAAAATCACGAAATAAGGTGGCACTCAAACCTGGCCGATCCCTTATGGACTGGATTCGCCTCGGCAACAGTGGCAAGGACCTGACTGGAGTTGGTCGCAAGGTCATCGAGGTCACACCGGAGGAGCTAGCTAAACATTCAACAGCTGACGACGCATGGATAGCTCTTCGGGGTCAGTCAAGTCACATTATCATTTCACTTTTAAATAGAGGTAATAATGGAATAGATCACACTATAATTGATGATTTAATCAATCAAACCATCCTGTAAGTTTATCATAGGATAACATAATGGGTTTTGATATTTAAAGAATGCTTTCTTTTTTGTTAGAATAATAAGCACTGTGGTGTGTTAAATATTTCAGGAAAAGTCTACAACATATCGCCATATTTGGAGTACCACCCAGGAGGGGAGGAGGAACTGATGAAGGGGGCAGGAATAGATGGCACACAGCTGTTTGATGAGGTAAGATCACAACCACAAGGGATGGAGAGGAGCAGGGTTAGACAGCACACAGCTGTTTGATGAGGTAAGATTACAACCACAAGGGATGGAGAGGAGGGGCAAGGTTAGACAGCACACAGCTGTTTGATGAGGTAAGATTACAACCACAAGGGATGGAGAGGAGGAGCAGGGTTAGACAGCACACAGCTGTTTGATGAGGTAAGATTACAACCACAAGGGATGGAGAGGAGGAGCAGGGTTAGACAGCACACAGCTGTTTGATGAGGTAAGATTACAACCACAAGGGATGGAGAGGAGGAGCAGGGTTAGACAGCACACAGCTGTTTGATGAGGTAAGATTACAACCACAAGGGATGGAGAGGAGGAGCAGGGTTAGACAGCACACAGCTGTTTGATGAGGTAAGATTACAACCACAAGGGATGGAGAGGAGGAGCAGGGTTAGACAGCACACAGCTGTTTGATGAGGTAAGATTACAACCACAAGGGATGGAGAGGAGCAGCAGGGTTAGACAGCACACAGCTGTTTGATGAGGTAAGATTACAACCACAAGGGATGGAGAGGAGGAGCAGGGTTAGACAGCACACAGCTGTTTGATGAGGTAAGATCACAACCACAAGCGATGGAGAGGAGCAGGGTTAGACAGCACACAGCTGTTTGATGAGGTAAGATCACAACCACAAGGGATGGAGAGGAGCAGGGTTAGACAGCACACAGCTGTTTGATGAGGTAAGATCACAACCACAAGGGATGGAGAGGAGGGGCAGGGTTAGACAGCACACAGCTGTTTGATGAGGTAAGATCACAACCACAAGGGATGGAGAGGAGCAGCAGGGTTATACAGCACACAGCTGTTTGATGAGGTAAGATTACAACCACAAGGGATGGAGAGGAGCAGCAGGGTTAGACAGCACACAGCTGTTTGGTCAAGATGATTGGGTAGAAATAGGTCTAGGATGAGGCAAAAATAAGGATGATGGGGGGATGCCTAAGTGAGGGATGGGGCTGAGGGGGACAGAATAAAAGGAGAACATGAGGGGCAAAGTAAGAAAACTGTGAAGAGTATGAGACACAAATAAAAAGATCAAGGAAAGCTAGGGAAGAAGGAGCAGAAATTCAAATAGCTCGGTTGATTAAAGGAAGGAGGTAGGAATAAGGAGGTGATGATAATTAAGGGTTGGGAGGGTTGTTGTCGTCTTCCTTAGGAATGTGTGATGTCTCTTTACTTAGGGAACTACACAGACTGCTCACACTAATGTCAGATGACTACAAGTCTGACACATAAGCTGCTTAGGTGATGGTCAGTATCGATATCATAAATGTCCAGTCACAAATCAATTAATGGCTGGGCTGGTTCATGGTGATATGGCTGATAAACAAAACTGTCAAAACCTATTTTTGTAAGAAAAATCTTCCTCTACTGAGGTTACAAATTGCTTGTTGTATACACATTATACAGTTGGCTCACATTAGGTTATGATACTGTTAACACATCACTAGTTAGTCCATACTGTTCTATCAGAGGGTGGTAGTTAGTCCATATTGTACTACCAGAGGGTACTAGTTAGTCCATATTGTACTACCAGAGGGTACTAGTTAGTCCCAAACTGTACTACCAGAGGGTACTAGTTAGTCCATACTGTACTACCAGAGGGTACTAGTTAGTCCCAAACTGTACTACCAGAGGGTACTAGTTAGTCCCAAACTGTACTACCAGAGGGTACTAGTTAGTCCCAAACTGTACTACCAGAGGGTACTAGTTAGTCCCAAACTGTACTACCAGAGGGTACTAGTTAGTCCCAAACTGTACTACCAGAGGGTACTAGTTAGTCCCAAACTGTACTACCAGAGGGTACTAGTTAGTCCCAAACTGTACTACCAGAGGGTACTAGTTAGTCCCAAACTGTACTACCAGAGGGTACTAGTTAGTCCCAAACTGTACTACCAGAGGGTACTAGTTAGTCCCAAACTGTACTACCAGAGGGTACTAGTTAGTCCCAAACTGTACTACCAGAGGGTACTAGTTAGTCCCAAACTGTACTACCAGAGGGTACTAGTTAGTCCCAAACTGTACTACCAGAGGGTACTAGTTAGTCCCAAACTGTACTACCAGAGGGTACTAGTTAGTCCCAAACTGTACTACCAGAGGGTACTAGTTAGTCCCAAACTGTACTACCAGAGGGTACTAGTTAGTCCCAAACTGTACTACCAGAGGGTACTAGTTAGTCCCAAACTGTACTACCAGAGGGTACTAGTTAGTCCCAAACTGTACTACCAGAGGGTACTAGTTAGTCCCAAACTGTACTACCAGAGGGTACTAGTTAGTCCCAAACTGTACTACCAGAGGGTACTAGTTAGTCCCAAACTGTACTACCAGAGGGTACTAGTTAGTCCCAAACTGTACTACCAGAGGGTACTAGTTAGTCCCAAACTGTACTACCAGAGGGTACTAGTTAGTCCCAAACTGTACTACCAGAGGGTACTAGTTAGTCCCAAACTGTACTACCAGAGGGTACTAGTTAGTCCCAAACTGTACTACCAGAGGGTACTAGTTAGTCCCAAACTGTACTACCAGAGGGTACTAGTTAGTCCCAAACTGTACTACCAGAGGGTACTAGTTAGTCCCAAACTGTACTACCAGAGGGTACTAGTTAGTCCCAAACTGTACTACCAGAGGGTACTAGTTAGTCCCAAACTGTACTACCAGAGGGTACTAGTTAGTCCCAAACTGTACTACCAGAGGGTACTAGTTAGTCCCAAACTGTACTACCAGAGGGTACTAGTTAGTCCCAAACTGTACTACCAGAGGGTACTAGTTAGTCCCAAACTGTACTACCAGAGGGTACTAGTTAGTCCCAAACTGTACTACCAGAGGGTACTAGTTAGTCCCAAACTGTACTACCAGAGGGTACTAGTTAGTCCCAAACTGTACTACCAGAGGGTACTAGTTAGTCCCAAACTGTACTACCAGAGGGTACTAGTTAGTCCCAAACTGTACTACCAGAGGGTACTAGTTAGTCCCAAACTGTACTACCAGAGGGTACTAGTTAGTCCCAAACTGTACTACCAGAGGGTACTAGTTAGTCCCAAACTGTACTACCAGAGGGTACTAGTTAGTCCCAAACTGTACTACCAGAGGGTACTAGTTAGTCCCAAACTGTACTACCAGAGGGTACTAGTTAGTCCCAAACTGTACTACCAGAGGGTACTAGTTAGTCCCAAACTGTACTACCAGAGGGTACTAGTTAGTCCCAAACTGTACTACCAGAGGGTACTAGTTAGTCCCAAACTGTACTACCAGAGGGTACTAGTTAGTCCCAAACTGTACTACCAGAGGGTACTAGTTAGTCCCAAACTGTACTACCAGAGGGTACTAGTTAGTCCCAAACTGTACTACCAGAGGGTACTAGTTAGTCCCAAACTGTACTACCAGAGGGTACTAGTTAGTCCCAAACTGTACTACCAGAGGGTACTAGTTAGTCCCAAACTGTACTACCAGAGGGTACTAGTTAGTCCCAAACTGTACTACCAGAGGGTACTAGTTAGTCCCAAACTGTACTACCAGAGGGTACTAGTTAGTCCCAAACTGTACTACCAGAGGGTACTAGTTAGTCCCAAACTGTACTACCAGAGGGTACTAGTTAGTCCCAAACTGTACTACCAGAGGGTACTAGTTAGTCCCAAACTGTACTACCAGAGGGTACTAGTTAGTCCCAAACTGTACTACCAGAGGGTACTAGTTAGTCCCAAACTGTACTACCAGAGGGTACTAGTTAGTCCCAAACTGTACTACCAGAGGGTACTAGTTAGTCCCAAACTGTACTACCAGAGGGTACTAGTTAGTCCCAAACTGTACTACCAGAGGGTACTAGTTAGTCCCAAACTGTACTACCAGAGGGTACTAGTTAGTCCCAAACTTAAACTACCAGAGGGTACTATTTAGTCCCAAACTGTACTACCAGAGGGTACTAGTTAGTCCCTAACTGTACTACTAGAGGGTGCTAGTTAGTCCCAAACTGTACTACCAGAGGGAATTAGTTAGTCCATACTGTTCTATCAGAGGGAACTAGTTAGTCACGAACTGTTCTATCAGAGGGTACTAGCTAGTTAGTCCCAACTGTTCTATCAGAGGGAATTAGTTTGTCCCTAACTGTACTACCAGAGGGTACAAGTTAGTCCCAATTGTACTACTAGAGGGTACTGGTTAGTCCCAACTGTACTACCAGAGGGAACTAGTTAGTCCCAAACTGTACTACTAGAGGGTGCTAGTTAGTTCATACTGTACTACCAGAGGGTACTAGTTAATCTCAAACTGTACTACTAGAGGGTGCTAGTTGGTCCCAAACTGTACTATTAGAGGGTGCTAGTTAGTCCCAAACTGTACTACTAGAGGGTGCTAGTTAGTTCATACTGTACTACCAGAGGGTACTAGTTAATCTCAAACTGTACTACTAGAGGGTTCTAGTTGGTCCCAAACTGTACTATTAGAGGGTGCTAGTTAGTCCCAAACTGTACTACCAGAGGATACTAGTTAGTCCCAAACTGTACTACCAGAGGGTATTAGTTAGTCCCCAACTGTACTACTAGAGGGTGCTAGTTAGTTCCAAACTGTTCTACCAGAGGGAATTAGTTAGTCCATACTGTTCTATCAGAGGGAACTAGTTAGTCACCAACTGTTCTATCAGAGGGTACTAGTTGGTCCCAACTGTTCTATCAGACAGTACTATCAAGTCCCAAACTGTACTACTAGAGGGTACTGGTTAGTCCCAAACTGTACTACTAGAGGGTGCTAGTTAGTCCCAAACTGTACTACCAGAGGGTACTAGCTAGTTCCCAACTGTACTACTAGAGGGTGCTAGTTAGTTCCAAACTGTTCTACCAGAGGGAATTAGTTAGTCCATACTGTTCTATCAGAGGGAACTAGTTAGTCCTCCTCTGTACTATCAGAGGGTACTAGTTGGTCCCAACTGTTCTATCAGACAGTACTATCCAGTCCCAAACTGTACTACTAGAGGGTACTGGTTAGTCCCAACTGTTCTATCAGAGGGAAAAAGTTAGTCCCTAACTGTTCTAGCAGAGGGTACTAGTTAGTCCCAAACTGTACTATCAGAAGATACTAGTTAGCCCCAAACTGTGTTATCAGCTAGTTAGTCCCCCACTTTACTATCAGAAGATACTTGTTAGTCCCAAACTGTTCTATCAGATGGAAAAAGTTAGTCCCGAACTGTTCTAGCAGAGGGTACTAGTTAGTCCCAATCTGTGTTATCAGAAGCTAGTTAGTCCCAAACTGTACTAGCAGAGGGTACTAGTTAGTCCCAAACTATACTACCAGAGGGTACTAGTTAGTCCCAAACTGTGTTATCAGCTAGTTAGTCCCCCACTGTTCTATCAGAAGATACTTGTTAGTCCAAAACTGTGTTATCAGAAGATACCAGTTAGTCCCCCACTGTACTATCAGAAGATACTAGTTAGTCCCAAACTGTGTTATCAGAAGATCCTAGTTAGTCCCCCACTGTACTATCAGAAGATACCATATTAGTCCCAAACTGTGTTATCAGAAGATACTAGTTAGTCCCCCACTGTACTGTCAGAAGATACTAGTTAGCCCCAAACTGTGTTATCAGAAGATACTAGTTAGTCCCTCACTGGTCTATCAGAAGATACTAGTTAGCCCCAAACTGTGTTATCAGAAGATACTAGTTAGTCCCTCACTGTACTATCAGAAGATACTAGTTAGTCTCAAACTGTGTTATCAGAAGATACTAGTTAGTCCCTCACTGTTCTATCAGAAGATACTAGTTAGCCCCAAACTGTGTTATCAGAAGATACTAGTTAGTCCCCCACTGTACTATCAGAAGATACTAGTTAGTCTCAAACTGTTCTATCAGAAGATACTAGTTAGTCCCCCACTGTACTATCAGAAGATACCATATTAGTCCCAAACTGTGTTATCAGAAGATACTAGTTAGTCCCAAACTGTATTATCAGAAGATACTAGTTAGTCCCCCACTGTTCTGTCAGAAGATACTAGTTAGTCCCAAACTGTGTTATCAGAAGATACTAGTTAGTCCCCCACTGTGTTATCATAGAGTACTCAAGGTTTATAGTCAATCAGTTAGTCAGTATGTCACTTAGTCCCAGAGGGTACTAGTCAGTCTTAAATTGTACTACCAGAGGTTACTAGTTAGTCCCAAAATGTACTATCATAAGGTTCTAGTTAGTCACCAACTGTTCTATCAAAGGGAATTAGTTAGTCCCAAACTGTTCTATCAAAGGGAATTAGTTAGTCCCAAACTGTTCTATCAGAGGGAATTAGTTAGTCACCAACTGTTCTATCAGAGGGAATTAGTTAGTCCCCCACTGTTCTATCAGTTAGTCAGTATGTCACTTTGTGTGGACATGTATCTTTGTCACACTACATTTACATGTTGTTCCCCATGTATCCTTTAGTCCAGATAATATCATGGATAGCAGAGTGTCGCATACTGGATTCATGTTCCATGATCAACTATACAAGTATATAGAGTTATGGCCCTTTGGACACCATGTGTCACTCTCTCCGGAGCTTAAGGTAATAGGATTGTGTCGCCATTTCTCAGTAGAATTTCTTCTAATTTTGTAGTTATATTGTTTTGAAGTAAAGAACATTTTCTGCCACAAAAAAATATAGGTTGTCAGAATTTTAAGGATTTTAAATGGAAATTTATGTAAAAAGGAGTGAATTTTGTAAAAAAAAAAAAAAAAAAAAAAGTTTTTGCAATATAATGTCAGTAAACATGATACTGACATAGATTAGTATTGCATTGATATATATCAATTTCATAAATGCTGAAATTGTGTAAAATTAATTATCTATAAACGATTAAAAATTGACATTTTATAATAAAACCATATACACATAGTAATTGCACGCAAGAGGTATCGTTCTTGAAAAACTTCACAGTAGTAAAATAGGTAGCCGGTTTCCTGAAGTACAGAAAATTAGAATGGACACATGTGACTCATTGATTAAAAAACAACTGAATTAATGCCTGGATTGCTTTGCAATACTTTAATATTGAAAGAACACACTGTTCTGTCAATAATAAGCATACAATATTCATCAGTTAAATATTAAACATTAGAATATGCGGAAATTGTGATACTGTCTCCCTACATTGGATTTTCAACTAGGGATGTACTTCCTATTTCCGTTTAGCAATACACTCCTATGACCTTAAGATAAGATTCATACTTTGTATCACCCACAATCACTAAATTCTGTATTCGAGTGACTTTTAGGAGGGTTAACTGTCACCTGCTGAAATCAGGTCCTGTGTGTCGACTCACTATAAAGAGTTATTGCCCTTTGTTCCTTATGGAAAACAAAGTTTGCAGATAGATTGTTAGCAATGTTTTGCATTATCGTGACTACACCAGTAATGTATGTGGTAACTTAAGTGCTGTCTCTCATCCTCAGGTACACAAGTGGGTCAATTATGAGTCCATGCTAGAAAAATGTTTTGTTGGAAAATTGAAAACAACTCCCGTCCAAAAAAGAGGTAAGTAAATACATTTAAATATACATCTTTAGTTTGAATGAAGAAAATAGAAACATTTTGATATAGAAGAGATATGAGGGGAAATGTAAATCCTAGTGATATTCAGTCACTGCCAGGTGGTACTAAGGTGTTGTTCTATTTTCAGGAAGTCTGTCCTCCATACTTCGACTCAAGCCCAGTGCTCCTAATGGTAAGTATCAAGTGTGAAAACCATAAAACCAGGTTCACC